AAAAAAAAAAAAAAAAAAAAAAAAAAGAAAAAAAAAAAAAAAAAAAAAAAAAAAAAAAAAAAAAAAAAAAAAAAAAACAAATACAATATTTTTTTAAAAAATTTTAAAAAAAAAACATTAAATAAATTATTCTAATGTTTTAATTAATCTTGAAAAATTTATATTTTAAATAATTATTATTAGGATTTAGATAAAATTAAGTAGTTTATAAACTAATAATATAATTTCTATTTTCTTTAATATATGGATCTATTTCTTAAGTAAATTAATTTATATATGAAGTAGGTTAACTTAAATATATCTTTATAATCATATAAATTAAATAAAAATTTAATTCAATAAAGATTATATGCTACTAGTATTCTTTATCCAAAAAAAATAGATATTTATTATTATCTTTTTAAAAAATTGATAATAAATATTTTATTAATTTAATAGATTTAAATAATATTTTGGTTTTTTCTATACTAATATTTAAATTAAATAAAATATTTTAAATGCTATATAATACAATATGTTGTTTATTTTTAAAAAATCAAGTTAAAAAACAAAAATAAATTGATTGTTATATATACAATAACTGATTATTAAATATTAAATATAATATTGTATCTGACTAATTATTAAGTATTAGATTAAGAATTTATAAATATTAAAAACCGAAATTGAAAAAACATTATAAAATTGATATAACTAATTGTAATAAAAAACAATTATTCAAAAATATACAGCATTATAAAGCCTATAAATGGAAATCAGTTATAAAAAATTTTTTCTGTAAATTTATATATAACTTAAATCTAATTAATAATTTTGTTTTTTTTACAATATGTTATATGATGATAAATTATTCTATATATAAATCAGTTATTGAAAAAAATTAAATAAATAATATTAAAATTCATTATTACACAGAAACAATTTCTATGATAATCGAGAATCAAACTCTTCAAATGAAAAATAAAAAATTATTTTTGTACAGCCAAGCCTTTTGGAAAGACACTATATGATAAATAGACTATAAAATTTTGCTTGTTTGATCATGATAAAAAAGTCATATTGTAACAAATTAATCAAAAGAAAAAAAGAAATCTTTACAAATTTTTGGCGTAATTTACGAAGGATTGAATTACATATGAAGTTGTTAGGTTCTTTTTATTTTTCAATGAGATTTTTACAAAACAGCATAATATACGTAGGACCTCATTAAGTTAATGTGAAGGTTGCATTGTTCATTATTTTTTAACGAAAAAGGTTATGCACATATCAAACAAATTTTTACAATATTAAGATAGTCTAGATTCTTTTCAAAAAATTACAATAAACACTATTTTTTTTTCAACCGGCATTCTCATTTCCTTCATTTCCTTCTAATGAACCGGCATCCGCAGATACCGCAGGCGTGTTTACATCACTTGCTTCATTTCCATCTTCTCTCAATATTGTATCATCATCCTCATTATTGGATTTTTTAGCATTCCTTGGTTTTTTAGTAGTTCGCTGACTCGTCGTTAAATCTTTGTTTCTGCGTCCTCTTTTCAAAGGAGTAGTGGAAATAGTGGCTGTCACACCGCCAGACCCCACGTTTGAACCTCCGCCAGCATTGTTCGCATCGTTTGTATTGCTATTATCTTCTTGTGGTTTTGGTTCATAAAACAAGAATCTACTGCCTAAAGTTGCCCTGGTCACAGATTGATGTGATTTCAATTTATCTTCACTTGCACCCTTTCTGCTTCTCGTTCTTTTACTATTAGAATGAAGGTCTTGTGATTCTCCTGATTCAGAATCTTGTTGAGGTGTCGTCACTTCTGGTTGAGGTTGAACACTTTGTTCGTGATCGTTTTGTGATGAGGATTTCTGTGATTTCCCCTTATCTTTCTTCCGACTGCGTTGGGGCGGCAACGATTTCTGGTCATCCGCTTGCTCACTTGATATATGTTGTATTTGTTGCATCGATGGGGGGTTCTCGCGAGCTCTTTGCCGAGATGAAACTTGAACGGATGGGTTACGATCGTTTTCCATTTGTTGTTGGGCAAATTCTTGTGTCGGGAGTTGCCACACGTTAATCGATGGGATCTGTTTCATAATTGGATAATTATTTTGCCAATTTCGTACCGATACAGGATAAAAATCTTGAGTAGGTGTTTATTTATTTTAAAAAGACGAAAAGGCCAAACAACCATTATACGAGATTAGCTTACTTTAGGATTGAATGCACCGGCATTATCTTGATGCATACCTTGGTCACCAATTAACTCCGCAATCTGTTCGGCCGATGGTTGTTGCTCTGAAAATGGAGCCGGTATTTGATGATTGCCCAGTGGAGGAAGCATCGATGGTAATGGTGAATGAGTTACCGATGCATTCTTATTATGAAACCTTTGCATTAGCTGTTGGTATGCTTGAAGACCCTTAAGAAAATCTTGATGTAAAGTGTCGTCTTGATTTGTCGAAGGATTATACTGTTGATGTTGTGCATTCGCATTTGGATTCTTTACGGCTGTGGGGGTGTTGGGATTTGAATTCCTCGCATTGTTGGGCTTAACGAATGGATGTTGTTCCGTGGAGAGTCTTGGTGTTATCACCGAAGATGAAGATTTTTCTTGTTCTAATAATCTTGACAAGTTCTTCGCCAGCGGGCTGACACCAGCCACCGCATAACCCGTTGGAGAAGTCTGAATCTGGCTTTTACTTGACCGTTTTGATGATTGGTCAACATCTAATTCTGTTGCCTCAATATGTAATTCGTTGTTTTCAGCATGAAGGAAAAATCCGGAAACGAAGAATTGAGTGTACGCATCCCAACTTGTTGATATGTTATCAAATCGATCGTTATCGATCTGATATCCTATTCGAAATCTTGTGTCAGCAGACTTTCTCGAAAAATTACATTCGATTGTGGATCTTGTGCGCACAAACTGACAGTTCTCGATTTGTCTTAATGACCCAGGAATAGGTTGGGTTACAAAGCTCAAATATGGGGAGGAGAGGGGAATCTCATCTGCCTCCCAACACCCAGAAGGAGGTTTTGGGTAAAGTGTAGCAACGGATATATTGATCTAGGAATATATATAAAGATTATGAGTCATAACCAAGTAGCTGTCGGTCGATAGGTTGAATGAATTGGATGAATAAAAGGTCACGAAAAATAAAATACCGTAAATCCTTCCACTTTATCTACAGCTTCATAAGAAAATTTTCCCACCAGATTAACTACATCACCCTCAGAGAAAGGCTGATAATATTTTGTTGACTTTACATTAGGAAAAATTTTAAATCTAAATATTCCAAATTGGTTCTCCTCGCATCTATATCTACCTATCCCATAATCTATACCATTTTGTTTGGATTTTTGGTCTATCAGGGCAATAACGTGCATAGTGGAAGACATGATTAAATCAATTTCGATTTGATTAATATTAGATTGCCAAGTTACAAGAAGAACAATGGAAGAAAAGAAATTAGATCAAATTTTTGAATAACGAAATTTTTTTGAAAGTCTATATTCTGAATAAAACACCAAAACACGATATTTTCAATGGAGTTTCAATACCGAAATGATCTATATAAATTCCCCAAAATGGAAAATGAATAGGGGTGATCAGATTAATTCAAGAAAAAATCAGTCAGAATAAGAAATGAAGAAAATGATCACACACTTTATTTATAAACGACAAAGACCATCGAATCAATGTCTTAATGGTTGGAAATTCGATACCATACTCAGATTTCCTAATCCGATTTCTTTTTTCAATAATCTTGGTAAACAAAGGAATACTAATAAAGGGGATCAAAATATAAATAAGTATGCAGAGTGGGTGGTGCAACCCAAAAAATTGTGCAAATATCGGAAAGCGAAAACCAAAATTGGGAAAAGATAGAAGGTAAAAAGAAAATTAGGTAAGACTGAAAGTTATAAATGTCATTTTGTATGTAAAAAAGGAAATTATGAATAAAGGATTTTCATAATTATTGAAATTAATTGAAACAAAATATTATTTATTACGTCTATATGTCGTGCCGTTTCCTATCAGCCACTGGGAACTACCAAGGATTAGGACATAAAAGGAATAATGTTTTTTCTTGCTGACGTTCAGAAGAAAGAATTATTTGAGCAAAAAAAAAGAAAGAAAGAAATATATATGAGGAAAACATTTTATTATTGTTAACACCATTTTGAGTAATCTTACAAAGACACTTGTTTCTTTATAGAATATTCAAGTGAAAATGTTACCGCGGAAGGGGAAACAATAAATGTTACACTGATGTCAAACCTGCTACGCCAATCTAGTAATTTGATTGACGAGTTTACGACTGGATTTATACTGTCCACGAGAGGTCAAGGGTAAGCATTAAACGCTGTTTATCCGACGAAAAGAGTTTTTGGCGTAATAGGTTTGTCTTTCCATTGATTGACCTTAGCGATAACCACGGTAAGTATATAAGGAACAATAAAGTCATTGAATGAGTTCCCAAAAACGCATATGACGTATATTATGACGATATTAAATGACTTTCCCAAACAGGTAGAATGAAATCCAAATCCGGTGCAGATACGGAGATGCGGTCCCAATTTTTTTCTCTATCGGATGAAAATCTGGATTGATAATATTTCTAAATAAATAAATAAATACGAAGGTGCTTTTTCTTTGACTTTTCTTTAATTAGTAGATGCCGATAAAAAAAAATTATCTTTCGTAAATTAGCGTTTTAGCCATCATATGTAAATATCAACCATTTAACCGATTCTTTTTTATTCATATCTTGTTTATCTTTTAATACTTGAAGAAACTTAATTGCCAATTAATATTGTATTAGGTAGGAATTTAAAAGAGATTCTGTATGTCGATTGATAGGTTCGTTGATTTTTGTTTGAAGAAAATTTAATAAATTTGTTTAAAAAAAAGGTTAATAAAAAATTAAATAAATTTTGTTTAAAAAAAATTAATATTAAAATTTTTTTATACTTATTTATTTTTAAGTATATGTCTGATTTTTATTTTTATTGATTCTTGAAAAGATTTATAGAAAATAAAAATTTTAAAATATTTAATACTGTTATACAGTTTGTCTAAAAAGTTTTGAACAAATATTTTTTATAAATAATAAATAACTAATTATTTAATTGTTATAAAATTTTAAAGATATATTTTTTAAAATGTAAAAAATAAAATATTAATATTAAAACCAAAAAAAGTTTATTTAAAAAATTTTTATAAGCTTTTATATATAAATTTATATATAAATTATAAATGAAAAAATAATTTTTACTATATAAAATTTTTTAAAAAATTTTTTTGAAAAATTAAAAATTTTATTTGATTAATAAAAAATTTTAAAAAAGTTTTTTATAATGTACAAATTAATTTTATAAAAATGGTTTTATTTTTTATTTTAAATTTTGATTTTAATATAAATTTTGAAAAAACCTTATATTTTGTATTAAATTTTGATAAATTTCTTTAATTAAAAAATTAAATAATTAACTTAAAATTTAATAAAAGTTATTTTTTAATTAATTTTATTTTTATTTTACAAATTAATGAATTAAAATAAAATTATTATAAATAATTTATTTATTTATTTATTATAATTTAATTAAATCAATATATTTTAAAAAAATGGTTTGATATAACAATAAATTTTAATAAATTTTAATAATATATTAATAAAAACCCATTAAAAATTTTTGTTTTTATTCTTATTAATATATATTTAAATTTTTATTTTATTTTTTTATTTTTTTATTAAATTATAAATAAAAAAAAATTAAAAATTTGTTCAAAAACTTTTTAAACAAACTGCATATTTTAAATACTTAAATAAAATAATTATTAAAATTAATAATACTTGAATTGTTATATTTAATTTTAATATTATTAATAATGTAAAAGTCTTAATGAAATTATGGATGATTTCAATTAGACAGTGAACTTAGAGAGAGATATTTATTGAACTCAAGCAAAAAGTTAAGTTTATTCAGGTCAAAAGTGCATCCTTTTTATACATTTTGAGTTGTCACGAAAAATACACGTAAAA